ATGGCTTAACAAGGGAGTTTTACCAAATGCTCGAAGAAGAACTAACACCTACCCTCCTCAAACTATTCCAAAAAATCCAAGAGGAAGGAACACTTCCAAGATTTTTTTATGAGGCCAGCATTATCCTAATTCTGAAACTAGATAGACACTACAAAGAAAGAGAATTACAGGCCAATATCCCTAATGAACATAGATGTCAAATTCCTTAACAAAATATTAGCAAGTCAGATCCAGCAGTATATAAAAAAGATCACACATCATGACCAAGTGGAATTTATTCCAGGAATGTAAGGCTGATACAATATTTGCAAATCAATAAATGTGGTATATCACATAAACAAATTGAAAGACAAAAATCACATGATCATATCAATAGACGCAGAAAAAGCATTTGACAAAATTCAACACCCATTTTTGATAAAAACTCTCAACAAAGTGGGAATAGAGAGAGCATATCTCAACATGATAAAGGCCATATATGACAAATCTACAGCCAAAATCATACTCAATGAACAAAAGCTAAAACCATTTCCCCTAAGAACAGGGACAAGACAGGGATGTCTGTTTTCTTCACTCTTACTCAACATAGGACTCAAAGTCCTAGCCCAAACAATCAGACAAAAAGGAGAAACAAAAGTCATTGAAATTGGAAAGGAGGAAGTAAAACTCTCATTATTCACAGATGACATGATATTGTATATAGAAAACACTAAGGACTGCACCAGAAAACAACTAGGTTTAATAAATAAATTTGGCAATGTAGCAGGAAACAAGATCAACACCCAAAAATCAATGGCTTTTTTATACACTGATAATGAATTCTCAGGAAGAGAAACTAAACAAACAATCCTATTTACCATTGCAAAAAAAGAATTTAAGATACTTAGAAATAAACTTAACCAAGGAGGTAAAAGACATGTACGTACTCAGAAAACTACAGGACATTTAAAAAGAGAGATAGAAGAAGATACAAACAAATGGAAGAATATTTCGTGTTCATGGATTTGTAGAATCAACATCATTAGAATGTCCACACTATCCAAAGGAATCTA